CCGTTTTAGCTCGATGGTGCAGAAAATTCAGATGTTTCACGAAGTGAGCGAAGCCTCGTGGTTTTCCAATTAGTGCCTCGCGGTGCCTTCCAGCGCGAAGTAGAGGTTCTGGAGGCGTTGTTCAGCGTTCTATCCGCTTTTGTGGGCCACGCGCTCGTAGTGTAGGATCCAGTCCTCCTCGTCCTCATAGATCTCGCTGTGGAAGGGCGTCGGCGTACGAGGGGCGACGGGCAGGTAAACGACGGGGGCGGCGGTCGGAGTCTACGGCGACTGGTGGTCCATCGTCGGCCTTGTTGGCTGCTTGGTCTTGGTTGGCAGAAGTCCGAGTTCTGGGGGTAGCCCTTGGCTGCGGCGACTTGGTCGGGTCTTGGTTGTGTCTTCGTTGGGTCTTCGTGGGCTTGGTGTCGGACTTGCACTGCGGGCGCTCAAAGGGGTGCGCTGCAGGGACATGACGAACAGTGAACTGAAGATAAATGTTTAATTGGCGAACTTGTGCCAAAAAAAGAAAAAGTAAAGAAAGAGCGTTGAGGCAGCAGAAAAGCAGGCGGCGATTTGGCGGCGTGACAGAAGGCGAGAGCGAGACTGAGACTGACTCGACAAGGTCGCGGACAGCTGCTCATTTACAGTGCGTCACTATCTCGACAGTTCGGCAAGGAAGGTTCGAGCGTCGCGCGCTCGGGGCGAGGATGAACTGGCACTTTTGAGAACAAGAAAGCAGGGGAAAAGTTACGTCTGGTGCGAGAATGAACGCGAATCTTGTAGAAATCCGTGACCGAGCGTTGCTTTCTCGGCCCTGCGGGCGGCAATGTCAGCGGACGAAGCGTCATGCACACGGTCTCTGCGCGCATCACACTTCTTTAGACACATCGTATTCCCAGCATTTTTAGCGAATTTAGAGGCATAAAACTCAAAACTAGTGCATATACCTCTAACGGAATGTATCCTGGCTAAAAGAAGGGTGTGAAAAGAACGTGACGCGAAAAGATTTAAAAAATTAAAAATGTTTTTTATAGTGTGCTGAAATTGAACAAAAAGTGAAAACCTTCTTTGTTTTATAATTTATTTCTCAATACTCGCACATGATTAAGTCACAAACTTTCCATAATGTGGAAGGCAATGAAAGGCTCTATGCGTGGTATTTTTTAAAGCGATACTAAACATAGTGGACTAAATAAAAATCCGCAGTTTAGGTCAGTTGTTCGCGGAGGCATGTTTGGGGATTTTTAGAAAGATTGCAGCGACGAATAATCAATAGTTGTCGTAATGCCGTTTTACCTACTTGCACATATATTACAATTAAAAAAATATAGAAGCTCTCTTTTGAATACTTTGTGATTGAGAGTGATCAAACAACGCCACACACGACAATCGTCGAAACCTCGTCGTTCTTTCCTGCTCCTTTGAGATGTTTTTTTTTTTTTTTTTTTTTCTCAGAAACTAAACATGTCAGGACTCAGGACATTAAAATAAAAAGGATTGTTCCTCTTGGAACATGCGCCACGAAATATAAAAATTTGAAGCAAAATAAAAATTACGACTGCACCTCGTTGCCCGAATCCAAATGAAACCGCCCAAATATATGCAGATAAAAACCGACACATGCCGGCAGAACACTGTAAGATAAGGTCTGAACACACTTCCTAGGAAATCAGCCTCAATTGCTCTGCAGATAGGGAAATTCTTCGTAGGACAATGACAATAAAAGTTGCGCTCACACGAGAGTTGTTATCGTGGGAATTTATCAAAAAGGCATCGTAAGTTTCCTTCGCTTTTTTTTTTTTTTTTGTAACAGACCATGATTCTGGTATTTTCAAAGTTAGGCTTGCACTCGCAACACTCCCAGTGAACTGCTAAATGCTTAGACGCGGACACGCTTAGTCGCCAAGGCATGCTCTCTGAATCTTGCCATGGATACATCTCCCCGTCTGACCAACGTACACCTTTCAACACGACAGGGCGATTTTACACCTGACGCTAGGAGCGCACTCGCAGAAACTGATGACATGTCGTTTATTGCAGTTTCCAGATAGGCGCAGCCAATTCCTCTGCAAATCTGCTTATCTTTTTACGCCGCGAAGAAAGTTTGTTTGGTGCTGAAAGAACTTCCGGTGTATCAAAGCAATAGGCCGCCTTCTGCAGGTTGTGGGACATCCTGTGGATATAAGTCAGGACGACAGGAGGGTGGGTAGACCTGTCTTCTTGCCTTATTAGCAGACCTGTGAAATAAAATTATTCTATTTAACAATATTCTATGCCAAACACAGCATGAGGGTGCACCTGTTCGTTTAAACGAAGGGCGCGAAATAAAATCAATAGATGCAAACGTTCACACACTTCCCACAGCAAGTTTTTATAACCCAGCAAACCCAGAAAAAAAAAATACAACAATCATTATCAAAAGACGGGAATCTCAAACATCTATAACAATAGGTAGTAAGATGTATTTTGAAACAATTTGACTGTACTCTACTCGAGACGAAGCTAATTATGAGTTCCACACGTCCCAGGTTCCAATCTCGGCCGAGAAGCGCTATTAACCAATATTTCCATGGAAGTGTGTAGAAAATACCCTTCTTCCCCCCTTAACCCCGAAGGGTAAAACATTTTTTGTCTTTATAAAAAAAAAAAAATGTTTCGTTTTTGGTGAAATGGCAGTAAGCTTCGTCTGTGACGTCACATTCGTCTTTGACGTTAAATCGCTTATTTTTGCAATAGCTTCATCTGTGACGTTAAATTTTCTATTTCTGGTACTCCTGAGGACCACCAGAAAGGGGGTTAACCTTTCTAATTTGTGCTGAGCTTTGAAAACTAAATTTACACCGAACCTCTTTGCCACTGATATAAAGTTATAAGAGATTCCATGGTAGTAAGGCACACACACAACATTCTTCACAACCTGTTTTTTTACAGGAGCCGGATTAAACCTTCAGTACCTTGAGCACAACTCTAACAATTAGATCGTATTGATGGCCCGCTTCCAAACGACACATCTTTCGCAACTCAACTCCCTCTCCAACCCAAATCACGTTATCCATCGCAGACGCAATTACATCACCAGGCACGTAGCCAGGGGGAAGGCCCATGGGGCCCGCCCCCCCTCCCCCCCAGAAGATCTTCCCTTTTCCTGGGACCTCCTCTCCCCCTTTTCCTCAGACAGCATTTTGTCATGGACGCCCCCCCCCCCCCCCCCCCCCCCCCCCGAAACAAAATCCTGGCTACGTGCCTGTACACTACTCTTAACTATTTTCAAGTGACAGCTGTCAGCTGCCAACAGAGGCTTTGCTGATTCCTTACCGTACCTCCAGCGCAGGCCCTTTTCCGTGTACAACAGGAGGTCTATAAGCACTTAATTCAACTGTTGCGACCGCAGGGTTGTACATCGACAAGGACCGCACAACCGTGTCAACGTGAATATCAATCTCGTTTAAAAAAAAATCTCGGACAACATCGGAGCAAATCACGACCCGATACACACTCCCTCTTTTTGAATAAAGAGAGCCATCAAAGTCTACGGCAGTGTACTGTAAATAAAACTCCAGAATGCTCGTAAAACTATCTACATCAATCTCAGAGGCAGACTGCAACTTCACTAGATTATCATCACACCACCTCCTGACCCTTATTAACGGCTCCGACTTATCCATGCATAGAGTAATACAAGTCCTTGATGTCTACACTTGTCACATATCACACCTTCTCCCATGATGCGGATTCAATATTTCAATCAATTGCTCAAAGTTTGTGAGAGAATGGACTGTTGCTCCTCTCCTGTCACGTGTACAACACGTGCTGGAACTATTGATGGCGTCCGCCTCAATTATCTCTCTAACAGTCTTATCTTTGTGCTTAGCGAGAACAGTGAAAGAAGCAAATAATGGTTTGCACCCGCAGTCATGCATGGCTTCAATTGACTTGGCAGAAAAGGAGATAGTGTATTTCCGGTCCACGGCAGGGCAACGGATTGGTTGAGATGTGCGATGACGCAGTGTGTATCTACGCTGAGGCTCTTGGATTAAATCAGTTGAAAGTTAGCGCTCTGTGGTGTTCTTCCACTGCCTATGTCTTAAAGCGAAAACATGTTTTCTCACGTACAATACCAACTCGCCCAACAATCAGCAATCGTAGGCGAGTTCTGAGGGAGTCCATGTGTATTTTGATCTCTGGTAATTGTGTAAGCACACCGTTCTTTGCATTGGACAGTGATATGAAGCGTTTTTTGTGTCTCCAGGTCTTGTTTTGTGGGTTTTCCAAGAATTGTAAGGGCTGTGCTGGAGCTAGAGTTGCCTGTTATCGCATGTGGCTGGTCAGCCTTCAAGCGAGGTCTTCAGGGTGGCTGGTTGGTGTGAATTATTTAGATATGTCTGAATCACGAATCATATGGCTTCTGTCTGAGTGTCCGGCACTCGGTGACCTATTGAAGAGGAGGTGTTTCTTTTTTGGTGGTGAGGGTCTTGAGGTGTATATATAAGAGCGTTCATTGTTCAAATAAACTAGAAACTGTGTTTGAAACTTGTTGTTTTGTCAGTTTCTTTTTAACCGTTCCGTGTCTCCGTTTACTATAGAACTTCTATATTTATTGATATATTTACAGGAGTAAAAATGAAAGGGAAAAAAGCATACCGACACCAGCGTATTTATTCATTTTTTGTGCATAATGTATTTCTCTAGACTCATACAGAAGAAAAAAAACTCCAATACTACGACACATACACTCCCCCCCCCCCCCCCCCAAAAAAAAAAAAAACAAAAAAAAACAACAGAAAAACAAAGAAAAAGAAAAAAAAAACGGCAGTGTGTGTTATTGCGCGGCGGCGGCGTGCTGTGCTCTGGGGATTCCGGCGGCGGCGCATGGCGGCGAGAGCAGAACAGGCGGCAGCGGCGGCGCACAGGTTTACCAGTACCACGCTGTGTTCCCGGAAACCGACCTGAGCCCGTCAGGTGGCCGAGAAAGCGCCCCGGAGCCTATCCCGGAGCGCAGTCGCTGCAGGAGCTAGCACGAGGAGCTCGGCACGCGAAGGCCAAGAAGCCAACGACCATGCCCCCGGAACGGAGCGGTGCGGACGCGCCCCTCACCAACCCAGATGTCCGGCTGAGTCGAACTTCGTTATCGGCGGCGTCGCCGACGGCCAACGGAGTTCAGCTCAAGAAGGAGCTGAGCCTCATGAACGGCGTCGGCATGATCGTCGGTGGTATAATAGGCGCCGGAATATTCATCTCTCCGACGGGTGTGCTCAGGTACGCCGGTTCGTCCGGGATGGCCCTCGTGGTCTGGGCCGCCTGCGGGATCATTTCCATGGTCGGAGCCGTGTGCTACGCCGAACTCGGTACCATGATCCCCAAATCGGGCGGCGACTACGCGTACATCTTCGCCGCATTTGGTCCCCTGCCGTCGTTCCTGTTCTTGTGGGTGGCATTGCTTATCATGCAGCCGACGAGCAACGCGATCGCCGGCATCACCTTCGCCAAGTACATCTTGGAACCGATCTACTTGGGATGCCCGCCCCCGGATAACGCTGTGAGGCTGGTTGCTGCAGTCGTCATATGTGAGTAAAACTCAGTTTATTATTTTTTTTTGCTTTTTTTGTTCTCTCTCTTTTTGTTTTTTGCATGTGTGTCCGTCCGTGTGCGCTTACCTGTCCCAGCGAAGTAATCGATGGGTTTATTAAAGTGCCCAGGAAGAACCCATCGCAGTCCTGGTAGTGGTGTACGTAGGAAAGCACAGCTGTGCGAAAAAGGCTAATATGCCACTACACCCAAAAAGCTGCAAAACAAATTGAAGAAAAACGTGTGTGTGTGTGTGTGTGGGGGGGGGGGGGGGGGTTCGAAAGCTGTTATAATGCCGTCGAAATAACCTACAACATTAACAGTTTGTCGTAAAAAGGTAAAAAGAATTGCGCTTTGGTGATCAGTGTGGGATGTAATAGAGTCTGTGCAGTGAGAGTGCTAGCTCTATCCATTTATCTTTTTTTTTTTATTGGTCTGGGGGAAACTAGCTCGGTTTATAAAGCACGCCGTACACTTCCATTGTCGGTTGGTGTATCCTGTTATTTTCCGTCTCGGCGTGTTCGCCTTTTTCGCTCCATACGCTAAATCGGGCCCTCCTTTATTATAACACTTTAACTACAGTGACAACCGGATATTTATCTAATGCTTTCGAATAAACTGAAATTGATCGCTATTGTCACGTCTTTCGTTTGCAAACTTTCGGCACGCAAGCGGCCGCGGTAGAGCATTCCTCCCGTTCGACGAATAGCACATCGCCGCAACCACAGTGAAATCATAACCAATGGTCACACTCAAGGCCACTTCCGGTTATCGCGCATGCACAGCGCCCCTAAAGCCGGATGGCGACAACTGAAGGTGTAAAACGAAAACAAACAAAAACTAGGGTGATTAGAATCACAAGAAAATAAATTGAATGCGTTAATGTTAATATTTTTATAAAACATAATAAGCTAGGTTATAATAATAAACCAATATGGAAAGTAAATACGAGCAGTGACCGTTAGCTTTAGAAGTTCATTGCCCTAACCGAAGCCATGTTTTGAAACGTCGCCGGTCGCGTTGTCGGTGTTGCTGTTCTCCGAATTTCTCTTTCCTAGTACATTTCCCTTTCGATTGGATCCTCGGTTGGCGTTTTAATGTAACGTGAGTTACCGAATCACGCTATGAATGTGTTCTAAATGAGCATGCTCAGGCAAGAAGCCAAAAAGCCGCAGACTCACTTCGCCGTTCGAGATTCCGGGATTCCACTTCAAGTTCGTTGCTGGTGGGTGCAAACATTTCTTAAGTGCTCATGCTGTCCTTCGCGTCCGGCATGACGCGATCGTCTTTTCTCCAACGCAGTGTATGTGACCTTAGTCGTATGTACGTCGGACGTGACTTGTAAAACGGTCGAACGTAATGAATTGCTTGTTTACGCTTAATGATTTCGCAACCTCCACGCTAGGCAGGACCGAACCTGGGGTTCGCTAATCTGTAAAATCATAAAAGAGAAGTTGGCATCAAAGTACAAGCATATAAAAAAAACACGCAACATTAGTGAAAGTGTATTTACCAGTTGTTATATATTTGCAGACAGGCTAAGCAAGTTGACTGGGTACATTGAACATAGTCGTGAATTGACTGGTCAGCTGGATGGATGTACCTCGAAGGGAATTAAGGGGAAGGCACCTCTAAAAAAAGCGTTGCTCAAGCATGTCAGTTTCCTGAACTCACATCTGTCGTCTGTCTCTCTCTCCTCAGGATATCCTGTGGATATGGCAGCATCTGGCACCTGTCGTTCGGCATGCGTCGAGCTCCAGATATAATATATCTACGCTTGGCACGTCAAGCTCCAGACATTATTTATCTCCGCTTGGCACGTCATGCAGTAAGACCCACAGTACTTTCCTAATTTAGAAGTATAAGGTGTGTCTCACTTGGTCGATTCACTGAATGCTCTTACTTTCTTTTTCCAGAACGATGGTTCCTTGGAGAATTAAAGAGAATACCGCGAGGGCGACAGACGTCTGGCGGCAAGCTGCAAGGGCCGGACACCCGAGACAAGGACCATCAGTAACCAGTGGGATAAAGTGAGAAAACTCAAGAGGCAGCTCGTCATCTGAGCCACAAGAAGAAAATCGGAGACCGTATGCTGGGAAATGTGTCGACCTTCATCCTTGAATGGCATGAGCATTTTCTGGTCATATTCGTACATGAAATGAACTGTTACTGGAACGAGGTCCACTCATCCTTCTGCAGCCAAAGCTACGGCACCAGCGAGCCAACCGGAACATTTGGCTGAAGGACATGACAACATATTGTGGGAGTATACTCCTCATACGGAGAGCTCTCACAAACCTTGCTTCGATGATCTGATTAGCTTCAAAAGGCGGCAGCATTTTTTCTATGTAAAATTAGGCTAAAGCAGAGTGTACCTGTAGTGTGGCCACTTAAATTGACATCGCAGCATAGCATTCCTCATGAGGGTTCTGGCATCTATCCTATAATCTCTTATGCAATTATGAATGTCGCAGCCACAAGTGATCATTTGACAATAATCTGCAACTCGACATACGACAAACTGCGTTAATTGTTTGGTAAGTGCAGTCGCGGCAGTTTTACATATCTGGGAAAAAAACTTAACTGGGAGGGCTCCCTTCCTCATCCCCATCTATCTCAGTCAGGGCTCTCTTGAAAATCCCTTTCAAGTCATTAGTAAGAACGGGATTTCTGGGATACCGCTGACACAGTAACTTCCGGCATCTATGAGACACTTGAGAAGGAAAACCTTAGGCAGTTGCAACCTGTGAACCAGGTTGCAAACTGTGAGGACGATTTAGATCAAGTCCTGCTTTGTATAAGTGGTCTCTCAGCATTTGGCATGCAAACTGTGGAGCAGTTATGGCAGTTGAAACTCCAGGCTCCAGAATACTGGAACTGTTGCCATCAGCACGACAACCACAGCTGGTTGTCGTGCCAGTAGACCTCATTCTGAAGTCACCGGAAGAAAACGACAATAACCGGTTGCTGCCATCATGTTGTGTTAGCCAGTGGTCAAGAACAAGACTTTTTCTCTCTTGAGCTTGGACAAAGTCTTCTTTAATTCGTTTTCTTAAAGCCCCTTTGACACGCGACGGCACATATAACCTAGTTTAGTGAACACCCTACCTGTTACTAGTGTTTCCAGTTTGTGCTAAATCAGGAAAAGAGCCCTTGCAGAATAAGGGAGTGCTGTGAGGAAGTGAATTTTTAATTCCTCATAGAGGAGATTGCCATCTGTTGGAGTGTTGGATAGGAACAAGCTGTGGTCTGCGCTGTTAAAAGCCTTTCTGAAGTCTAACTGGACGATCTCGCACGGAGTTCGGTTGTCGAAACTGGTGCTGAGTGCATGGGTGGCAGCTGCAAGGACGGATTCGCAGCTCCTGCCGGGGCGCAAACCGTATTGGTGGGGGCTAAGGAAGTTCGACAGCTCAAGGTGGGCTAACAGTCGCCTGTTAATAACACTTTCCATTGTTTGGCAAACGATAGAGGTTATGGAGATTGGTCGGTATGAGTGGATGTCAAACTTGAGGGGGCACCGCGTCCCCTTTCGAGAGGCGTTACTGACGCAGCTTTCCAGGATTTAGGAACAGAGCTGTGGGAAAGAAAATCGTTGAAGGGGCGAGTGAGGGAGGACTTGGGAGATACGGCCAGCACAGGATTTAAGCAATCCGGGGTGGAGGCCGTCTGGTCCAGGGCGTTGAGAGGAGTTGACATGGGCAAGGGCTTCCTAGGCTTCACTTTAAAGAATGACTATGGAAGAGAGTGTGGTTGCTGGTGTAGCCTCGACTGGCAGAGTTGTGGGTTGGGTGGGACAAAGGTTAGGTACGGTAGGGTCGAGTAATGCTGCAGCCTGAAAAAAGTGGCAAGAGAAGAGTTCTGCTATGTCGTCAAGATTGGAATAGGGCCTGCCGTGATATGTGGATGCCGGCGCATGGAACTTTTTTTTTATAGTGAAAACATGCTTGAAAGTTTGGACTGGCAGGTTGTTTTTGCTGCTAGTTGCTGTATGTAATCGTTACGGGATATGGATGAGATGCTTGACTTCGGTACGTGCTTGGTGGGTTTGGTTAAGATGAGTGGGATTTAGGGTGTTTTGCGCTTTCTTGAATAGGCAGTGTTTACGTCTGATTAAGACTGCAATCTCCTTTGTCATCCATGGAAGGCTGCCGCGCCTCCTGTTGATCCTTAAGGTGAACACATTTTTGCTGAATTGCTTATATGTGGAGCGAGAGCTCGTCGGCCTCGTCAGCCGATGGGTGATCAAACACGATGGACCAGGGAGCGAGGTGGATGAGCTGATTGAGATGAGAGGAGTCGTTTTTTTTAGAACTGCTGGAACCTCCTCGGTTGATGACCTCGTTTAGGGACTCAGCAATGAATATTGGTGAGGAGATCACTGTGATCGCTGCCTGCTAGGCTAGACTTGACTGTGCGGCGATAGGATAACAAGGGATTATTGGTGCGGGCGAGGTCGAGGAATGTAGCGTTGCCGTTTCGAAAAATGTAGGATGGGGCGTCACGAAGTCGAATAAAGAAAGAAAGCAGTTGGGTGAGGCCAGCAGTTTACAGTACGTCTAACAGCATGTCATCGAGTGGATCAGACGAACAGTGCGGAGAACCTGCTGGGGTCGATGCGCTGTAAGATCTCTTGGAGGCGGGCGTACGATTGTTCACGGAGGGGGGTCGGGGGGGGGGGGGGGGGGGGGGGGGGCAATAGTTAGAGTAAATTTCGCTCGCAGATCTGGAGCGTTCCAAAAGCGCTCCATTTAGAGCTCGCATATTACGCTGGCAGATCTGGCTCGAGTTGCCCATCTTCCGCTCGTAGATCTCTGGCAGCGCCCGTTCCATGGAGCGCCTCCAACCCCGCCGAACTAGGAGGGGTGTTTGGTGTGTAACATGATCCTTCGCGCGTCTCAGTTTTCACGTCCGCGCTGCTCGTGTGTCTCTGCTGGCTCTTCTTGACCTCCCGAGGCGCGCTGCTGTGCCCACGTAGTTTTGTTTTCTTCCCTTGCTTCGTTCTGGACA